TAACAATTTTATATATATTAAATATAAAATAATATATTTATTATATTTTTATTACATATTTTAAGTGTATAAGATAAAAAACTCCTTTTATGTATCCTGCAATTAATTATTTGTTTTGGTTGTCTGCGTGGCTGACATGGTCTATCCACCTCCACCAAAAATATAAAAGGCGAGCCCTTCTAACTCCCACAAAAGCCCTTACACAGTGTTTTTTACTGGGTTTCGTGTCATTTCCGCCATTTTTACAAACGCCAAAGGCCCATCACTGTGCTTTGACTGTTCACACAATTTTGGCCCACCCTCTGATCTTCGTTTTGTCATTTATACCCTTTAACAGTCCATTTTCTATGGGCAAAGAGTCATTTCACGCAAATTAGCGAAAGGTTCTCTTGTAGCCGGCCTGTTCACTGGCGCCATGCCCCCTTCTGCCCTTTTTGCCCCTCATCTCCGGTTCTATTCATCGGCCTTTTTCGTCATTTCACCTCGTGATTTCGAATAAGAAAACAGCGTTTGTTTCCTTATTTCCGAAAAAGTCCCTCATTCTTCAACTGTTGGATTGTCTCTTTTGGTAATTTCATCATCCTTTAGATGCTCCTTCCAGTATTCCTAGACTGTTCTCCACCCGCCGTTAGCTCTCCGTTTAGGGGTTGTTCTCTTCCAGCAATTCACTTTGTTCCCCGCGTTTCCTACTGACCATTCGGCACGATGGGATTGAGAGGGTGGCAAGCTGTAGGGAGAGGAAAGGATAAGGAGACCAGGAAGAGGAAGTAGGTGACAAAAGAGGAGGAAAGATGTGTATCAGAGAAGAAAGGGGCGGTCTACGACAACAACTAAGGAATCGGGGTGGAGTTGTGGGATGTTACGATTTCAGTGGGTGACATGAGTGTGTGGCGGAGGCTGGCAGAGAGAATAGATTTTGGTAGAGCGTTGCCGAGAGAGGTGGTGATGGAGAAGAGACAGAGGCGATACCTATGCAAGAGCAACAGCAGAGAAAATCCTATGTTATTTCATTGTTAATGGTAGGTGTTTAAGGAAAAAAAATTCACTTCCATTTTTATTGGTTTGCTGTGAGATTCCATTGAATTAAGTGAGTGGGACAAATCTACTTCTAAAAAATGTAAAGACAATTGATCCCTTAAATTATCAATCAATATAAATGTTTCATTATTTAATTACTGACATAATTACATTAAAAAAATACGTTTGCTCGGGCGGACCGGACATGGCTATTTTTATACTGTAGCTGATGGGTCTCATTCTTTTTCCTTTTTAATCAATATTTCCTACATTAACCTTCATATCCATTCAAATTTACGAAATTATGCCATTTTTCAAACACATGTACTGGCTTATGTGTTTCTATTCCCGTTTCCCCACCTTGTTTTTGAGCTAGATCTACAAGCCTCAATGATTCTTCCATGACTAGTCAAGCAAGACAGCATAAGAGAAAACCTTAATGGGAAATAATTAAGAAAAAAAAATGAAGAAGAAGAAACCCATAAAATCTCACAGTTATTGTTATCAATGCCAGTAAATATTTTTTAGAAGTTCAAAGGTCAATAAACAATAAAATGAACTAAATTTTCTTGAGAAACAAAAACAAATCACTAAGGAAACATAATTTTATGAAAATAAGAAATACCCAAATGAAAAAACTACCTCAGAACAAAGGAAAATACCCAAATTTCTGGGTTCGCAACGAACCTCACCTATAATTGCTTCCATCACCTTTTTACCAACCCAAGGTTCAAAACTCACGAAAAGAATCAGTGCTTGCTTCCTAATATTCACCTCTCCCACACCGACCCAGAAGCGGCCAGGCAGCCATGGCAGACTACGAAGTGCCCGACCCCCCGCCGCCCCCTGGCTCTCCACCTTCTCTCCGCCGACTCCTTGCTCTTCCTCACGAGGTATGTCTTTGAACCTCTAATTTCACCAGCTTCTGCTGCATTTTAGCCCCTTATTTTGAAATCTCTTTATTGAAAATTGGTGGTCATCTTGCAAAATGTGTGGAGGAGGATCACTGACAAAGACTGCAGAAGTTTGTTTGGGATCATCTTCTCAAAAACGCTATCAGTAATTAGGTTTGATTTTCTCAGAAATTTCTTTGAGGTTTAGGGTTTTGATTTTTCGTTTTCGTTTTCGTTTTCGTTTATTAAAAGGAAATCAATTTGGGAAATTAGGTTTGGTTACTAATCTGGTGAACAGGGGAATGAGGAGAAATTAGGCATACCATGGGACCTGGATGATGTGGAAAGTAAAAAGAAGAGGGACTCATAGGAAATGATGTGAAAAAATGCACAAATGGTGCACCTAAATCTGCGGGGTGTAACAAAATGTCATCTCATTTTAAGGTAAATGGATTTTTTAACGGTAATTACGTCAGCAGTTAAATAATAAGGTATTTGTATTAACCAATAACTTGAGTTGTGATTTGTCAATGGATTTTTTTGAGGCTGGATTTGCCCCTGCCACCTTGTTTGGAGGGCAAATTTGAGGGTTCTGCCTTTGGAGATTTGGTTTCTGCCTTTTTTAAGGTTTAGGGTGGATTAGAATTGAAGGTAGAGTTGTGACCCTGAGATTGTCCTTCACGGGTTTGGTTATTGAATTTGAAAGCTGCCCCTTTGTTTTCCAGCCTTGCCTTCCTTCTAGGAATCAGAAGTCTGACTTTCTGATTGATAAAGAAGGAAAAGAAAGCAAAATTGTGAAAGAAATTGAAAACCTTTTGCCATTTTTAGATATTTTGAAATCCAGAAATGAGTGCAATCAATGGCGTTATTTTGAGGCAAGTCTTGCCTGTATGCAGTAGCCTCTGTTAGTTTTGCAGAAATGAGTGCAAAGATAATAGCCTGTGTTAAAATGTGGAAAAGAAAGCGAATTTTGAAGACTTTTTTATTTAATTTATTTGTTCAATGTGATATTACCTGGGTTTATTATGTTGTTCCTTTGGAATTAGATTCTGGAGTTGTATTCTACAGTTTAGCTAAGAAGCATGGCTGTTTGTAGTTGTATTGGTTCTTTTTTCCTTTTCTTATTGTTTATGCTCTTAATTCAATTTAATGGTTTGGATGATGGGAATTGGAAAATAAGCATGGTCTTTTACTGGTATATATTTGATTTACCTAAATATTGAATGATCACTAAGGAATCTAGGCTTTTCTGCGTCTAGAGGTTATATTTGATTTATCTTTGATAATCATGTGAGTTAAGTATTTTTTTTAGATTATTAGTTAATTTGATAAGTAATTAGTACTTGGCAAATAAAGCTCT